GGTGCAGATCGACGGTGAGGACGACGGATCGACGGCAACAGTTGCGTTGCCGTGGGGAGTTCGCCGGAGGTAGATGACGGCTACGGTTTTAAAATTAGGGTTTGGTATTTTTGATGATGGCTAGGGTTTTGCGAGTTAGGGTTTACTTCCTAAGCTCTGATACCAACTTAGTTTTGATGGAATCAAATTATTTGTATTCCAATATGTTAATCATAAGAAATACATGGCCTTCTTATATAGAAGATAGGCTCAAACATAAATGGAAATAAAGATAAAATAATAATTAATATTGACAACTAATTTACAGCTAATATTTACAAATAATAAATCAACAACAACAATTTGTACGCTTGCAATTCTCTCTTCTGTGGCATCCAATTGCCTTTACATATTTTATTTGCTATCTTTTCTTAGTGCCGGACTGCTCTGATACCAATATGTAGCATTCACCTTTATTTATTCACAAGAGAGAATACAGTTATACATCACTAGGGAAGATGAGTTCTCTGCTCTCGTGGCCTCCATTTTCCCACTAATAAAAGCATACCCTCCTTAAATCCTCGCATTTGATATATCTATTTTGATCACGACTTCTCAACTACCATACAGTCACATCGTCTAGCTAGGTACCCTGCCCCAAGCTAACTAACAATCTTAACACTAAACTCTTCCCCCAAAATCTTTTAGTCTGATATACATGGATGGTGGATACACAAACGTAACAGTATTACACCAAAAAGGTACACCAATGGTAATAAGTTATTCTGTGTCTGTCTAAGAGGGTCTTCAAAGAGAACTACTCTGATCTCGAAGAAGTTTGGGATTCTGGTAGATGCTTTACCTCCATTTGGTTCTCTCTTTCTAGTTCCTTTTGTAACAACGATCTTGTTCATATTATAGCTAATTGTGATTCCTTTTTGTAACACTTTGGCATTCTGCCGATATCTCCCCTTTGTGTGTGCTTTTTCTCCATTAATATATTTTTTTGTTTCTGATAAAAAAAATATGTATATATATATATTCTGTCTAAGAGAAGTAGACTAATTGTCATCCTAAACAACACAAATACTATGTTCTTAACAAAGCAACCATGTCAAATACATCTAGACATGAGTCTAACACGTCGAATTAAGTATCTGAATTTTTCAAAAAAAAAATTTTTGGTAAGTTCAAAATAGTTCTAAGCACTTATGTACATATAGGAAATATGTCTTTTTTTCTATATAAGAAAAAAACAAGTGTGTTGAGAATTTTAAAAGAAATAGGAACGTGTCTCCAAACCTGTTTTTGGCTTTAAAAAAAAAAGAAAAAAAAAATTAAAAGAAAGAAAGAAACTACTTATATGAACTGTCGGGGAGAGAAGGGAATATGGATACTTGCTTTTAGAAATTGCACATAGAGGGAGAACCCATAAATCCTTCCAACCGATTTGATTAGGGGGAAGAGATAGAGATTTCCAAATGGGTTTCTTTTCTTTCTCTCTCACCAAAAATCAATTCTCAAAAAGTTCTAGTGCAAATCCAACAAGCGCCCACTCAAATATTTCCCCTTTCTTTCTTTCTAGGATACAAGATTTTCATTTTCTTAGTTTTTCGAAAACAAATTCTTGATATGATTGGCTCACACTTCATTTTTCAATGTTAAATTTACATGTTTTTATCTATTTTGAAGTATTGAATATACCAATATATATACATATGTTCTAAAAGAAACAAAACAAAACAAAAAAAAAAGAAGAAAAAGATAAACAAAAAAAAACGTCCCTGATGACGCTGTGTCCTACTAGTTTAGAAAATAATTGTCACTGTATCTGCCTAGTGTCTCATGTCCGTGCCCATGATTCTTTTTTTAGTGAAAGAAACAATTTCATTGATGATATGAAATTATAAAATACCCATAAGGGTTACATGAAAAACTTCCAATTGGAGATGAGGGAAGTGTAACTATAATGATGAAATAAGGAGAAACGTTTGCACCAAGAAATGACTAGAAAGACAATTGATTCAAAAAGCCTCTCATAAGGAAGGTCTTTATCGTTGAATGTGCAGTAGTTTCTTTCCCTCCGTATAATCCAAAAAAGGCTCTTACGAAATGCTTCCAAAACATTTGAATGGGAAGGTTTCATTGACCGTGCCCATGATTCTGATCTTTTATCCAATTTGTTTTAAAGAATATCCTTATTGTTTTATAGTAATCGATAACTCTTAACATTTTGCCGGTGCAAAACATTTGATGCAAAGACAACAAAGCTTGGTATTTGATTTTGAGAGGCCTTATTAAAAGAGAGTTAGAAGAATGGGAAGGTTTCTTAACGCTCCTCCATTATGCTTCCCTGGTCCCTAAAATATGGACTCTTAAAGGAGCCAAAGAGACGATTCCAGCATATTTTTCTTCAAATTAGTAAGCTAATTTGGGAAGGCCGTTGCACCAGAAAAACTAAATTCAACAGCATTTAACAGCCTAAACACAACTGATAGGGTCCTAAAAAGGAAACCGGAGCCCTTTCTTTCTCATCAAATCTTCCCTCTGTGTTTTAACAACATGAAAACTTCCAACCACCTTTATTTCCACCGTAGCTTTGCCTCTCAAGGGTGGAATTTCATGTGTCAACATTGTGACTTAGCTAGTTAGCTTGGTGCTTTCCGAAACAGTGGAATAAGGTCTTAATTGGTTGCTGTGCTGTATGGTTTGTGGTTTAAGGACAAAGCTAGAATTCATTTGTCTAATTTAGTTAGGGCATTCATTGCGTTCCTTTGACACTTTTAGAAAGAAAGGAACTCAAGAATTTTTTTAAACAACTCAGAACTTTTTTGTTAATTTTGTGATCGAAGTACAATGTACAGCCCAAATTGGAGTGCGCTCCACAAATCAATTTGTAATATTTCTACTTTTCTCATTAACTCAGATTTGAGGCATTTTGTTGGATTCCTCCCTCTTGGCTGTACAATGTACAGATTTCAGTTTTGTTTGGGTTGATGTTTAATCAAAATTCTTTGTTTTTTATAAAAACAAAACATAAGAGAGCTCTCTTGACCATCTTTCTTTTCAAATTCCAGCCATGTCAGCAGCTATGATTGAAATAACTATGAGGAAGTCTAGTGGAATGGTTGGGACCTTGATGATGGGAGCCACCCAGTCAATTGAGACTATAGCTTTACACAAAGGAATCCTTCGGTAAGGAGACAAGTAGTCTTTGGCAAAAAAGTCGTTGCTAACAAGCATGGTTAAGAATCTATTTGCTGGTTCAGAGGAAACAACCTCCAGAGTAGTTCTAGAAGCTCCTGGGTTCACAAATTACCAAATAACAGATTTTATTGTTTACTTACTGTATGAAATTGAGGAAGGTATGAGGATTATGTATTGGGAAGACCAATGCATAATAACGAGGTATTATATTGTCACATTGCCCAGATTATATAAACCTTCCCAACAGTCGTAACTAAACTTTAAAGGATTCACAGAACTGGGAGTATGATTGGCGAAATCTCAACTTTAGGAGACATGTTAGATAGAGAAATCAGAGAATGGACCTCTTCACTAAACATTAAGGCTTTTGCTGATGCCAACGTGGGAAATCTAAAAATTTCTCCATAGCTAACATGTTCCATAGATCAATTAGGCAACAATCGGAATCAGAATCCGCAGACAATTCACAGAAACAGAAAGAAAAAGGGGGAAAGTACGGCGGAGGAGTACCGTTCGGAGAGCTGGTGGCCAACCTGATAGCCGATTGCCTCGATGCGACGGGCGGCGAGCTCCGGCTTATTGGCGTAGAAGCGATTGCAATATGTAGAAACCATCTCCGTCAAAAGGCTGTCAACGCAGCTCTCTGAAACCTCTCTCACCATGTTTACTGTGCGATGGTTGAAACTGAAGTTCACTTCGATGGAATTTGAGAGGAAGAACAAGAACAAGATGGAGGATTCGTGGATCGAGTCAGTGCCTTGATCCCGCACCCCCGAATCTAGATTCGTCTACAGCACAGGACGACATGTCGTATGAATTCATCATCGGCATATTTGGAATTTTCTGTGGTTTTTATTTTAAGGGAATAAAAAAGGATAAGGAAGCATGGTTTAATTTGATTTCTCATTATGCAAAAAAAAAAAAATAATAACAACAATAAAATTTGATTTAAACGTACTGCTAAGTCAAATCATGGGTTTAATCAATGAGTTTGAATTGAGCTTAGTTCTAATTTAATCTTTATGATCTGCTAAAAAAATTTGGTCCGGTTGAATTTCAAAATTTTAATTTGGCTCCTATAAATTGATTAAATGTCACAGATCATTTTTAAATTATTTTATCCACTAAAAAAATCTACCATATGTCATTATATTATTTTACTTAGAGTGTGAAGAATTTTGAAAAAAATTGTTTTAAATAAATGTACTTTTCAAAGAATTACTAATTTAGAATATATTTATTATAGCATTGTATTTGATTTTAATCATTAAATGATTAAAAGTATTTTTAAAAAAATGAGTGATCTTTTGTACTAAAGAAATACTTTTAAAACATAAACTTGCTTAAAGAAATATTATCAAAAAGTAACTTAGAAGTAATGGATACTCCAATAGTTTTAAGCAATTGAAAAATGTTATTAAAAAAGAAATGCCAAAAAAGTGCTTAAACTAAAAATACGTCAAACACACTCGTAGTCTTAAATTTTAATACAATAACAAATATGAGTATAACTTAACTCAATTGGTTGAAGCATAAATCTCCAATTAAAATTTCGTGAGTTTAAATCTTTCACCTCATTTGTTATTGTACTTCAAAAAAAAATGTCTTAAATTCAATCCATTAACAAATTAGTCAACTCGAAAACTATTAAGTACAAAGACAATCATGACTAATAAGAACTACAGCTAATTGATTTAAAAACAATACAAATAGGCTATTAGGTATAGAGATAACTGTGATTAATAATAATAGAACTACTGCTGACTGATTTAAAAACAAACTATACATTAATAACTGATCTTCACCATACAATACTATTATCCCTTCAAACAGATGCTGGCAGAAGTAGAAGTTTGGACCAAAAAAAATTTAAACGGTCACTAGTATGTGGCTTAGCAAACAAATCAGCAAGCTGGTGATGTAGGGAACAAAACACAGTTCAATATCATTTCGAACAACCCGCTCACGAATAAAATGGAAATCGATTTCAACATGCTTCGTTCATCTGTGAAAGGTGGGATTGCGAGCTAACTGTATAGCAGAGATATTATCACACCGTAACATCAGAGGCTTAGTAATAAAAATATGAAGATCTTTGAGAAGTTGCCGAAGCCAAAATAACTCAGCAGCAGTAGAAGCGAGGGAACGATATTCTGCCTCGGTAGAACTTCGAGAAACGGTGGTTTGTTTCTTAGAACCCTAAGAAGTAGGATTTTGACTAAGAAAAATAACAAAACCTGAAGTAGAACGCCAATCAGTGGAGTCGTCAGCCCAATCAAAGCCAGAAAAGGCATGAAGACGAAATATATCAGTAGTATCTTTCCTGAAACGTATACCAAGATGAGAAGTACCATTAAGGTGCTGAAGTATTCGTATAGCAGCCACCAAATGAATATCCAAAGGAGTATGCATAAACTGAGACAGCTTTCCAACAGCAAACGCAATATCTAGACGGGTAAAAGTGAGATAATGAAGGAAGCCAATGAGACCTCTATAATTTCGTGTATCCTCCGCAGAACAAGGTTGACCCATACCAGACATATTAGGTAAACACATAGGTGTTGCACAAGTTTTAGCTGATAGCATCGCAAAACGAACCAAAACATCCTTGACATATTTTGCTTGATTCACTAATAAACCAGATCGTGCAGAAACCTGAAGGCCCAAAAAATACTTAAGTTGTCCTAGGTTAGTCACATCAAACCTACGCTGCATCTGAGATACAAGTGAATCAATGTATAGTTGACTAGTCTTTGTAACAATGATATCGTCAACGTATAAAAGCAAATAAGTAAGAGAATCATCCAAATGATGAACAAATAAGGACGAATCAGCTGAAGACGCCTCAAAACCAAGAGTTAAGCAATGTGTAGTAAGACAATCAAACCAAGCACGGGGTGTTTGTTTGAGTCCATATAAGGATTTGATGAGCTTGCAAACATGAGTTGGATAGTTAGTATCAACATACCCTTGAGGTTGTTGCATATAAACCTCCTATTCAAGTTCGTCATGAAGGAAAGCATTTTTTACATCGAGTTGACGAAGGCGCCATCGAAATTGAGCAGCCAAAGACATGATAATGCAGACTGTTGGCTTCTTTACAATCGGGCTGAAGGTTTCCATCAAAATCCACACCTTCTTCTTGATGATATCCCTTTGCAACAAGGTAGGTCTTATACCGGGCAATGCTACCATCAGGATGTCTTTTGATTCTATACACCCACTTGCAACCGATCACATTCTTATCTCGTGGTAAAGGAGTTAAATTCCAGGTGTTCTGTCGGACTAGTGCATCATATTCATCACTCATGGCTTGCCTCCAAACTGGTAATTTAGAAGCCTTAGTGAATGAGGAAGGTTCTTCCTCATTGGTAGTGACTGTAGTAAGATACAGCTTCTTCTTAAAAATACCAAACTTACTTCTTGTTTGCATAGAGTGCATGTTGGAAGAAGGTCCAGAAATCCCCAGTCAACATCCGAAAAAGCCCTTAATGAAAAAGATGAAGTGACAGGCAAGAAAATACCACGACCAGGAGATTGCTTCAAATAGCGTAACAAGTGATAAACGGCAGAAAGATGCATTTTACCAGGCTTGGAAACAAACTGGCTTAAGCGATTGACAGCAAAGGCTATGTCAGGACGGGAAATAGTCAAATAAATGAGCTTCCCAATTAAACGGCGGTACAAAGACTGATCTGGAAGAACATCAGCGTCAACAGCAGCCTCTAGGCGAAGATTAGGATCCATCGGGCAAGAAACTGGTTTGCAGCCAAGTAAACCAGCCTCCTCCAAAAGAGAAAGAGTGTAATGATGCTGTGAGATAGAAATTCCCTTAGAAGAGCGAGCCAATTCATGACCCAAAAAAAACTTAAGAGAACCAAGATCTTTGAGTTTAAAACGATCATGAAGAACAACTTTAAACTCATTAACCAGAGTCAGAGAAGCCCCAGTCACAATAATATCATCTACGTAGACTAATAAAGCCATAAAAGAAGCACCAGAACCTCGTTTGAACAATGAAGAATCAGCTCGAGACTGAACAAACCCAAGTGATAAAAGAGCATCAGAAAACTTTGTAAACCACAGTCGCGAGGCCCGCTTGAGTCCATAGATGGACTTTTGGAGACGACAAACCAAACGCTCCCCCTTACGAGCAACCACACCTGTTGGCTTATAACCAAGTGGCAAGTCCATGTAGACTTCCTCAAAGAGATCTCCATGGAGAAAGGCGTTGTTGACATCCAATTGAATGAGAGACCATTGTTTGGAGACTGCAATGGTGAGTAAAACATGGACGGTCACCATTTTTGCCACTGGAGAAAACGTTTCAAGGTAGTCAAGACCTTCAGTTGGGTATTACCCTTAGCAACCAACCGACCTTTATAACGCTCAATAGATCCATCCAAATGTAATTTGACCTTGTATACCCACTTACAACCAATGGAATGATGGGTGGGAGGTAAAGGAACCACAGTCGAAGTTCTATTAGTCTTCATTGCTTCAATCTCAGCAGCCATGGCAGCCCTCCAATGAGAATGAGAAACAGCCTGGTGATAAAATTGTGGTTCATCGTGCACAGAAATAGCTAAGGCCAAATGAGAATGAGACGGAGCCAACCGAGAGTAAGAAACATAATTGTGCAAAGAATGTTTAGTGGTGACAGTAGGAAGACGATCACCATTCAAAAGAGCACAATGATATTCTCTGAGGTATGAAGGAGGATGAGATAGACGATTAGAACGTTGAAGTGGCTGAGCCTCAACAGCAACCGGAGAGCCAACAATAGCAAAATCAACAATATTAGTGGCAGTTGGACAAGCATTATCAACAACCTCAGAAGAAGCAACATTCCCATGAGAACTTGCAACTGGAGAGGAAGATGGCCGAACAGAACCATCAGAAGTACTGTCAGTAGCAACATTGTCTGAATTAACTAAAAAACCCGAATTATCAGTAGCTATAGAGGTATCTGAAGCAACAAACTCAAAAGAATTTGGCAAGACAATGTTGGGAAAAGTATCAACATTAGATACAACAGACTGTTCACTAAAGGGAAACTTGTTCTCATGAAATATAACATCACGAGAAATAAAATTTTTTTCTATTGAATGTCATACAGAGTGTATCCCTTCATCCCAACAGGATAGCCAACAAAAACAACAGGTGTAGCCCTTGGATCAAACTTAGTTCGATTATGAGACAGTGTGGAAGCATAGCAAAGCGATCCAAACACCCGAAGGGATTGATAATCAGGATCATGACCATATAAAGAATGGAAAGGGGTCTTCCAATGAAGAGTTGGTGAGGGAGTGCGGTTGATTAAAAACACTGCAGTTAGAACACATTCACCCCTAGAAAGTGATAGGAACTTTAGACTGAAAATATAGTGCTCTAGCAACATTCATGATATGTTGATGTTTACGCTCAACCATAGAATTCTGCTCAGGACGCCCCACGCAAGAAAATTGGTGAACAACACCCTTAGAAAGGAAAAAATCCTTAAAAGTAAGCTCAGGGGCATTATCAGATCTGAAAACTTTAATACAGGTTTGAAACTGGGTTTCAACATAGGCAAAAAATCGTGGCACCACAGACAGAACATCAGACTTGTTGCGCAACAGAAAAACCTAAGTGAATCTACTACAGTCATCAACAATAGTAAGAAAGTATCGATAACCATGGTGCGTAGAATGAGCAAAGGGCCCCCACATATCAGCATGTATTATGTCAAAAACATGAGCAGACATATTATTTCTTGAAACAAAAGATAATTTCTTTTGCTTAGCTAAAGGATAAATGGAGCAAAAATAGTCCTTACAAACAGAATCAGCAATGGGCAAAACATGACTTAAAGCATTCATCCACTTAAAAGAAGGATGACCAAACCTATTGTGCCAAGTTTCAAATGAAAATTTACGCATACTAAGAAAGGAATGACAAACAGTAAGTCCAGATGTATCAATAGAAGAACTGCTAAGAATATAGAGGCCATTCCGCAGACTACCCTTGCCAATCATCTTCAAAGTGCACTTGTCCTGAAGAACACATGAATCATTAGCAAACTCAACTTTCAGATTAGGAAAATCTCGTGTCAAAGAGCTGACTGATATTAGGTTGAATTGGAACTGAGGAATAAAGAAGACATTGTGTAGAGATAAGTCTTCTGATATCCGAACAGTACCACTTAAGTGCACAACAAAACGAGACTTATCAGGCAAGTTGACATGGATTGGAGAAATAGGCGAAACAGTTTCAAACAATGACTGAGAACAGCAAATATGCGCTGAAGCACCAGAGTCCAAAATCCACAAATTAGCAGCATTTAAAGAACAAGCAGTAATACCTGCCATATGAGAAGTCGAAGCTGCATCAGAAGCAGAAACCTTCGAGACATTCATCTGAGACTAAAGAAGCTGGAGAAGCTGTTGACATTGAGCAACAACATCAGGATTCGACATAGCAGGAGAAGAAGCTAAAGAAGCCACTAGTGGTCTGCGAAGAAGCAGAGTGAGCAAAGGCCTGAGACGAGGACCGCAAATTCTGAGAACGATATCCAGGAGGATAACCGTGTAATTTGTAGCAACGGTCAATGGTGTGACCAAAGAGGCCACAGTGAGTGCAGAATGGTCTCTCCTTCTTTCCCTTCGAAGTAGTCGCCAGAGATTTTGTCATAGTCTTGCTAGAATGGGCCGAATGTTGAACGGCTAGGGCAAGAGAGGCAGTCGGAGAAGGAGAAGAGGAGACACCTAAAGATCGTTGTTACTCCTCTTGATTAACAAGTGAAAAAGCTTTGTTGATTGAAGGCGGCGGATCCATGAGAAGTAACTAAGCACGAATATTAGTATAGGATTCATTCAATCCCATAAGAAAACTCATTAGATACTCATATTGTAAAAAATTGGCAGCAGATTTGGCACCACCACACGTACACGAACAAGAACACAAAGGACGATATTGAATTAATTCGTCCCAAACAGCTTTGAGTTTAGTGAAATAGAGACTGACAGACTGTTGATTTTGCCACAATTGAGCAAGATCACGCTTCAATTGAAAAATCCTAGGACCGTTGCTCTTTTCAAAGCGCTCCTTCAAATCGATCCAGATATCGCGAGCCGATTCCGAAAACAGAATGCTCGATGAGATTTCCTTCGATACAGAATTGAGAATCCATGCAATAACTACATGATTATTGTGAATCCATGCCGGAAGCAGTTCACCAATCGGTCGACTAATAGATCCATCAATAAACCCTAGCTTGTTCTTGATGGAGAGGGCAATGAGCATAGACCGACTCCAAGAGGAATAATTTTCCTCTGTAAGCGGTTGAGTAACAAGAACAAGCTCTGTGTTATCCGTATGGTGAAGATAATATGGATTGAGGACTGAATCAACACCAGACACGGACGAAGAAGAATTTGGTGATGAAGAATCATCAAGAACTGGAGCAATTGGATCAATTGGACGAACCGGAGAAGAAGGCGGTGTGGTTGGCATGGCGGAAAAGGAAAATTAGAGAGAGAAGCTTCGTGCGGAAGATATACGCTCTGATACCATAACAGAGTGTGAATGTGATAATATTCTCATTAACCCATTAAAAGAAAATACAATATCTCTATATATACATGACGAGATATAAAACAAATTAAATAACTGACTAAGGAAGTTATAACCAATTTGTACATAAAGATCCGGAAGTTATAACCAATCTGTACATAAAGATCCTAAAAATCCAAAATATGAATTAAATTTACCTATTAATGATGAATAAACCACCACTCAACCAAAAAGTTTAAACTGATGAGTTGGATAAAATTAATTCATATATTGAATCTCTAACGCCAAACTAAATTTGGGATTACATGCAGCAGTTAATCTCAATAATATATGTGTTCATTAGGGGCTCTCTTTAAGATTCTTCTTCTATTCATTTCATGACTGCACTGTAAAGATAGCTTTCAAAAAGTCATGGCGAATGTAGATTGAAGCTGTATTGATGGAGCACAAGAAAGAAGAGGCCATCAAGGCTATAAAAAGTGCTGAGAAGAAGCTGGAAAATGGTGATTTTATTGGGGCTAGGAAGATGGCTCAGACAGCACATAAACTCTTTCTTACACTTGAAAACACTACTCGCTAACACTATGTGAAGTTCACTGTTCAGCACAAAACAAAATCTATGGATCTGAAAATGACTGGTACAGGATTCTTGAAATTGAACAATCAGCAAATGAAACAACTATCAGAAAGCAATACAAGAGGCTGGTACTGTTACTCCACCCAGATAAGAACAACTTTGATGGGGCAGAAGCAGCTTCCAAACTTGTTGCTGAAGCCAACTGCTTGCTCTCTGATCACTCAAAACGAAGGCTATATGACATGAACAAAGCAAATTTTGAGACAGGACCTCGAAATCAGCAGATGCAGAAAAGAGTAAGAAAGGAAATGAAGAAGCTCCCTATTATGCAGATTGGAGGAAGAGACAAGGAGCCTATAGAAGCCATGGAAATAGGAAGAGACAACAGAAATCGGCTTCTTCTGCGTCGTCGTTTTCTTCTTCTTCTTCTGAGTCGTTGCCAAAGTCTTCTTCTTCTGAGTCGGATTCATTTAAGTCTTCTTCTAAGTCCGACATTTCTTGTTTTAGATCAGATTCTTCATCTTCTGAATTCTTCAATTCCTCTAAGTCAAATTGAGTCATCTATACAGTATTATTGGTAATGATCTAATCTTGTCCTAACCTATATGTAGTAAAAGTTTTTTTTTTATTTCTTTGGAAAATCTTTGTTTTTGTCTTTCTTTTCTCTTTTCCTAAGTTGTGAAACATTTAAGGGTGGTCAAGACAAGGATTGAGTATTACCCATAAAAAGTCTTCTTAACTTTCTATCGGTGAGGTTCAATCTTGTCCAGACCACCAATTTTCCTATTTCCATCACTAAATATTTGATAATTAAGAAAGATAAATACAAAAATAGAAAAAGTTTAATAAGCAAGCATGAGCGAGGGAGGGTATCTTTTGACATTTTGGTGTAGGCTTGGAACAGGAGAGATGAGGGAGCTCTCAAATTCTTTGCGGTAATCTTCATGTGATTTTTTTTCAGTGCTATCATGGTGTAAAAATGTTGATTCTTTTATCAACTTTAGCTTGAATTCTATTATATGCAATCAGAGAAGTAGATGTTGTTGATGTCAAGTCCACGAACAATGGAAGCATTTTTAGTGATAACCAAATTGATAAGTGAAAAAAAAGTGTTGCTCAAAGTCAATGATCAAAGTTTGATGAAAGCGTTTCACCAGTAAGCGTACCTTTTTAAATGTGAGACAAAAAACATATTTGTGGCCAACCACATTGTAATTTGGAGGGTAGGGAATAAGAGAACAAAGTGACATTGTGAATAAGGGTCTACTCATGTTTGTTGAGAAGAAATGTATGTTTTGATTCTTAATTCTTTCTACGTCCAAAAGTTGCCTCACATAGGTCTTTCCCAAACTTCCTCAGTCACTAAAATAAACAATGTAAAGAAAAGCACTCATTTTTATACCGATTCGGGAAGAGCGAAGAAAAAGGAGATGTTTTGTTAATAGGAATAAGAAAGTGTTTATAGTCGTACAACGATATAAACATGAATATTCATTTGAAGCGTAGAAAATCAACACACAGAATATGAAAATTTTCTACCGTGTTGATGGAGGGTCGGGAAGTTCTCAAATCTCCTTGTTTGGTGCACCATTTTAATAAATAATATCGAGTGTTATCAATTTGGTATCACTCCCATTTTCCATTTTCTCTAAACTAAGTAAACCGACTCCAATTTTCCATTTTCTCAATATTCCAACATTCGTGAATCTTGTTCTAACTTGACTCTTAGAATGTTTTAGATACTAGCTTAGTGATTACTTAGGCTCGTTTAATAGCCGTTTCTATTTTTTTTTCTTGGTTTTTTTGTTTTCTAAATTTAAACAACAAAAATGGTTTATAACTACCTTTTTTTTATTTTATTTAAAAAATAGAAAAAGAAACATGAAAATCATTTTTAGTTTACTGTTTTTAAAAAGTTAGAAAAAGTTGAAGAGATGTGTTAGAAAGAGAAAGTTCTATATAAATTAAAGATTACAACGGTGTGAGAAGGAGTTGGTATGCCCTGTTACATCCTCGTTCTTGTGGAAATTTTTAGTTCTTGTCTCCACTCCATTCTCCGATTTCAGGAATCGAGGTATAGATTGAGAAATCTTCATTTCGGGATGAGGATACTCGTGGGAATAATTACCGGTTTAGTAATTAATTGTAAATATTTTTATAATTTTAAAAATAAAAAGGGTAATAAATAAATATAATTTATATCTATTTCACTTAGAAAATTATTACTTACTAATTAACAAATATTTAATATTTTATTCATAATTTAGGATAATTGTAATAAAATATATATCAATTATTTAATAAATGTAATTGGGGAGGAGATTAGAATAGGGTGGCAATGTATTCCTTGTTCTTGGACTGGGGAACCAACCCTACAAGATGTGATCCCTATTGTAGAGATATAAATATTCTGTTCTTGGACTGAGGAACCAACCCTACAAGATGTGATCCCTATTGTAGAGATATAAATATACAAGTTTAAAAAGATAAAAATAAATTTTTTAAAAAGCAATTTTAAAAAGAGTAAATTTTAGAAAGATTAATAAAAATATTTAGAGAAAAAAAATTTAGTGAGAGAAAAGTTAAGACAAAGAGAAAAAAAATGTAAAATTGAGAGAAAAAAACACGTTAAAGAAAGAGAGAAAAATTATAGTGAGAAAAAAATTTAGACAAAAAAAAAATCAAAATGGTTAAAAGGCGAAATTTGAGAAAGAGAAAAGTTTGGGAAAATGTTAAATTTTGAGAGAGTGAAAAATGAGAATGATATGTTAGAACAAAAATGTATAAATAGAGATAAAATTTTTGAAAAGAGATAACTAATAGTAAATATTATAGAGATGAAAATTGTAGAGAGAGAAAGATAGGGGGTCCTTTGATAACCATTTCATTCTTTATTTTTTTGTTTTTGGTTTTTGAAAAAGAGACTTGTTTGATAACTAATTCAATTTTTGTTTTCTGCTTTTTAAAAATGTTTTTGAAATTTCTTAGTAAATTTAAAAATAGATTTATGTTTTTTAAAGTTTCAGTTTTCCTTCTAGTACTCAATTTTTTTTCTTTCACATATTTCTCTCTAATAATTTTCATTCACTCTAAAATTTTTTACTGCCTAATTTTCGCTCCCTATTAAGTTTATCTTTCTCTCTAAAATTTTCATGTCTAGACTATTTACTTTTATTTCTCTCCAAAATTTTCATCTCTATATATATATATATTTTTTCTAATATATAACTCTCATTTTTATCTAAAATTTCGCCTCTTATATTGTTTTCTCTTTCTAATCTATTTTTTACGTAGCAAATATCTGCTTTAGTGGGTGTTTGCATCGATCTATGTTTTATTTGGACATATACATATTATGTATGTGTTGGAGGGAAAATATATTGGGTTTAGCGCCCTGAGCTCGTGAGTTAGTAATTTGTAAACATTTTATTTATTATTAATAAAAGTTATTTTATTATTTCTTCACATTACTCGTATTCAAATAAAGTAAGACCCAAGGTTATTTATTGTAACTAGAACAGTATATATTTGATATACATTATATATTTAATATATAGTATGTATTTAATATACAATGTATATATTTGATATACAATATATACCGTTGGGTCTTATGCCCTAAACTCGTGATTTGTAAACATAAAACAAATATTTATTCAATAAAGTTGTTATTGATGTTTCATTTAGAATTACATTAACCCAAATCCAATAAACTAACATCCAAGGTTATGTCATGTAACTCGAACAATATATAACAAATATATAGTATATATTTAATATACAACGTATATATTTAATATATAGTGTATATATATACAACATATATTCGATGTACATGTGGATAATGTTCCAGTAATAACCTAAAGGGTCTATAGTATATGGGTAAGGTTGGGTACCTTATCTTGGTAACACTATGGATACGACCCACTTTGTAATATTTATAATGACTTGATTTAGGTCATTCGTGTGGAGACGTACGAGTGTGGGTATCCTATACAATGAGTTTATACAAGATTGGACCGCGAAATAATTAATCTTTAGTTGTAACACCGTTAGCTAATAGCTGAATATTTCAATGGGATGGCTAGGTAACTCGATCACAATCCTGAGTGAGTTATGGACTCATGCCTGTTAGGGCCAGCCCTTTGATTTGTATGGGTAAGAGTGACCCGAGTCACTAACTCAATATTCCTACCATTTTGGGAACGAGATCGAGCAGGGAACTGAGAACATAACTTCACAAGATAGAATTCACTTCTCGCCGACTTTAGGGGAGTACATGAATGTCTCCTTTAGTACTGACTCAAGGACTTGAACTAGGGGCCCCACCCTCTCATTTGCCAGAGAAAGACTTTCGGTTACTGGTCGGACCATAACTGGGTTGTTCACTAGAGGATCAGCGATACTTAAGGTCCAAGATGTAACACAGAGGTAAAACGGTAATTTGACCCAACTGTGGTTACGAACACTCGTGAACGATTGAGTTACTGATAATGGTCAAAATCCGTGGATGCAAAATATTCTACAGTGAGAAGAATGCAGTTATGGATCTTTAGTGGAATGACCGATAGTTAACGAATGATGATTAATATGATTAATGAGTTTAATCTTTTAATCTCGTATCGTTGGGGCTTCTGATCTGTAGGTCCATTAGGTCCCCTTGCTAGCTCATAAATGATAGTTAAGAAAATTTAGTCTTGAAAAGAATTTGGATTTTTCAAATTTGTTAAAGAGAATTAAAGTTAATTGTATGAGATGCTGTTTGTTGATACATTATGATATAAAGTTAATTTTGACTTGGATTCAAAATTATGAGAAAGATGGATATTAGAATTTGATTATAATATGGTTGATTAATTTAAGTTTAATTTAATTAAATATGATTTAATTAAATTAATGGGTTATGTTAATTTGGTTAAATTAAATTAGATTTAATTTAATTTAATTAATAATTCTTTTTGTAATTAATTAAATTTGATTTAATTAAATTAAATAAAATAAAAAAAGGGAAAAACCTTTCACTTCCCACCATTCCCACCATTAATGGTGGGAAGGAATGGTGGGAAGTGGGGAGGTGGTGACTTTCCCCTCACTCTTTTTTCTTTATAAAAGGGAGGTTCTCATCTTCCTTGAGTTCGGTTGAATGAGTTTCCCAAAACCATAATGAGAAACTGTTCTCTCAATCTCTTGATCTCCCTCTCAATTTTATGACGGTTCTCACAAATCGAGTTCTAACATCCAGAGAATAGCAAGGAAGACTTTTTGGTGACGTTGGTGTCTACATTGAAGAAGTGTCTTGAAAGGTATGTTTCACTACTTCCATTTAATAATGTTTATGTCCTTTCTTTGTTATATTTTCAAAACAAGATCGAAGCACACGCGATGACGCGCTTTCACTGTGGGATTCGATCCTTTCATATACACAATATATATTCGATATACAAGTGGATAATATTCCAGTAATAACCTAAATGGTCTATAGTATATGGATAAGGTTGGATACCTTATCCTGGTAACACTATGGATACGATCTACTTTGTAGTAGTTACAAACGACTTTATCCAGGTCGTTCATGTGAGAC